AATGTTTGATAATGTCGATTTGTCAAACATCTGACAACGTTGCTAGATTATTATGTATACTGATGATCGTTACCGATAGTGGTTATCTACTCAGTAAAAATCATAGCCGGGTTGAAATTCTAGTGCCTAGCTCCGAAAGTAAGAAAAATCGGAAGCTATAAGCGAGTATTTCACATTATTTGGCACTCCGTAAAGTTTCTTGCGTCGTTTATCGTATTGTATTGTAGTTTTACTTTAAAAATATTACATTTTCGTATTCTTAAAAATATATCAGAAAGTGAGCTATAACGATGTTACTGTGTAAAAATTGATATATTTAATGTGAAAACTCAGTTGTCAGAAACCGCTGTGACAGCTAAAAAATATATGATATTTCAAAAGTTGTTTTATATTTCTGGATGACATATCGGACATATACGGACAGATATCTTAGTTTCTGATATATTTTATAACTTTTAAGAATTCAAAAATGTAATATCTTTAGGAAAAATTAAAGAATAAAGATATAGGACGCAAGACTTTTAATGCATATTTTTATCGCCTATAACGTCATTAAATCAATATGGGTGCAACGAAAGAGCCGAACCTTAAGGTTGAACTTTATTTTTATACACAATACACTTGACGGGAATTGAGATGTTTCCGCTTCGAGTTTTTGACGAGAATTAAGCTACGTGTTTAAGAGGGATCTTCGTCCAAGATGAGATAGACGGTATTTTCGTTAATGTAATAACCAATGCAACGCGTTTTGATACAAAGCATGGTGATTGAAAGGGTTTCCTAAAAGAAAAACAATATGTGAGAATTGGAAAATGTATTGATGTAGTGTATTGAGATGATTTGTTTGAACAGAACCAGTAATAAAGTAATAAAGTAATAAAGATAAACCTTGTAACGGTCACGAAGTGAAAGTATGTCGGGATAACTGTCTGGAGCCTATATTGGAAAGTGTATCGAGTCCTATTTATTGAGGAAAAGAAAAAAAAGAATGTTTAAAACTATTTTAATATCGGGACACTTAAATCTACTCGACAAAAGGAGCAAGAAAAAAAAGGTTCTCGAATACCGAGTAGCGGCACATAATACCTCCTCCCTTAAATTGAAGATCCTTCTTGATCTTTCTTTCGCAAAATATATTCGAGTTTCGCAGATGTAATTATAATCAATTTGTATAACTTAATAATATAATATTCCAAATTTGGCAATACAGTAACTTAATTCTAAGATTACATATTGTGCATATCATAACATATTGATACACAAAAGAAGTTAATTATTTAGTAGTTTAATATAATCATACGCAAATATTACTGAATACATCCGTTTGATCACGTTAATATTGACCACAGTCCCATTTGACCACATTGCGATTGGCCACGTTGCAATTGACCATGTTGATATTGATCACGTTGCAATTGATCATCGTCCCGATTGACCACCGTCCCGATTGACCACTGTCTCGATTGACCATCGTCCCGATTGACCACAGTCCCGATTGACACAGTCACGATTCGATAATCATTATCCCGGGATTAATTAAAAGTCGAAGGGATGGGTAAAGACGGACGCATCGAATATCCTCTCGCAGGTGGCCGCTGTGCAGTGTGCCTGCGAGTCGAACGTGCTGTACAGATCATACGTGTCAACGTCTTGAAAAAGATGCTATGATTCCGACTGCGTGACATACGTCCGTCGGTCCGTTAATTTAGGCAAGAGAATTTAATCTCTTTTGCCTGAGATAGCCATATGCGATCTCCGAGAGCGAGCGGAAACAAGCGTGACAAGAGGATTAAATTATTAATGAATAAATTGATTTATCATTTAATAAATCATTTAATAAAGTTGTAACGGAGCGCATCCTTCCGCTCCGTTCCTCCTCCGGATTTCCCCCGACCGACCATCCGACGGGGACCGCCGAACATCAGGCGGAGTGCGGCAGTGGCCGCAAAGAGGCAGCAATGCCTCCTTTTTTAATTTCTTGTACACGCGAACTCCGAAAG